CTCGGTTTTGTTTTTTGTTTTTTTCTTACGAGTTTGTTTTTTTGTAGGTCACGTTAAAAGAAACTTGCAAAAAAAAAAAAAACTACGGAGGGGTTTTAGTAGCTCCACTTTCAATCATTACTTTTTGTTTCTAAACATCAATGGGTTTTTTTGTTGTCGTTGTTTTTTATCAACCTTTGATTTTTAAAAATGGGAACGTGCCAGTGCCAATGGCTAAACAATTCCGAGGTAAATGTTGGAGAAAACTCAACTAAGTTCGGTTTTATATTATTACTATTTTTAAATTTTATTATTATCATGATTATTATTAGCAGAGTCATTATTATTAGTAGTGGAAGTAATAGTTGTATTAATATTTATAAGATTATTAGTATTATCACTAATATTAGTATACTTAAAAGTAGTATTCGCAGTATGATTTACATTAGTATTAAATGTAGTTGTAATATTATCTGTAGCTACCATTTCTATAGACAAAGTCATGCTCTACACAGCTGAAAGTTGTTTTACTTTTTGCGTAATCAAGTTACGCAACGGACCTCGCAGCAGGCGGCAGAGTTGCGTCGCCCTTTCCCGGAGACTCCTTTGCGTGCTTGAGGGCGTGTTTACGTGTGTAAGCGAGTTTCTTTGTGCATATGGAGGCTTTTTTTATAAAACCAAGGCCAGCTATTTTATGATAAAACGAGGAATTACAAGGGACAGATCTTGAGGAGGTACTCGATTTTTTTCCAAACTAAACGTTTCGGAAGGTTCGCAGCATTGAATACAAAGAGTTTGACAATTGTTTTGTGTGCATAAACGTGCAGTTCCCAAACAGAGGGGTATAGTTTTAACTATAAACTCTCTGTACATCACCAAAACCGCTAAGTTAACCAAATTGGGTTTGCTTTTGGCCGTATTCCCTGCGCCAGCAGCAGTGTGCCCAGCGAACGAACCCTTTACTAATGGCTGCCTCCCCACCTTTTGTCCCAAAAAAGAAAATAGGTGACAATATTTTGGGAATATATAACCAAACTCTAAGAATGAAATGGGGGTTCGAATTGGTAAACCTGAGCGCAATCGTCTCTATGCCAGTGTGCCTCAAGTATGTATGGCAATTTTTTTACATATATGGCAGTACTGCCACAAATTTGGTTTGTGTGTTTTTAAGTGACGGTCACACTGTGTATTGTTATCTAATTGTCATTATGGCATATTATTTCTTCTTTACTTCCTAAGTTTCATGGTTCTTTTTGGCTCAACTCTGTTTTTAGATCGCAGCACTTACGCACCCGCTTCCGGCTTGAGCGGCGTCGCCGTCGCTGTCGCCATCGGCGACGGCTTAACCGCGTGTTGCATGCAACGCGCTTTGCATGAAACGCGCATGCGAAGCTTGCATGCAACGCGTTGGAGGCAAGCGGCGTAACCGCGCGTTGCGTGCAACGGCCTAACCGCACGTTGCATCATGGATAGTTTCCCATAATGACGTCACGAGGGTTACCCTCATGGGGGTGACGAGGGCTACGAGAGTTACTCTCACGAGGGCTACGAGGACTACCCTCACGAGGATCACGAGGGTCACGAGCGTTACCCTGAGGAGGGTTTCGAGGGTTAGTTACCCTCAAAAGGGTTACCCTCACGAGGGTCATGAGGGTTATGAGAGTTACCCTCACGTAACACCCCCTAAAATCACGTGACCCCCCCCTCCCCTTAGGTCATATGACATCAGGGAGTCACCTATTCCTCAGTACAATTCCATCCTCCTCCTCAAGAGCTGCGCTCTAATCCGGCAGTACAGGGAGTAGTAAACATCTTTCATTTTTTGTACGAAAATTTAGGGCCCTAAAATTCCCCCCCAAAAAAAGTAAAGAAGTAATCAAACTTGATGCTGTTTGGTCAGAGGCTGAGTATTTTGGCCCCCTACTGCCACAATAATGAGAGTTAATGTTTACCACTAAGTCTTGTGTTGGCGTTCGGCATATCTGGACTTCGGTTTCATTCAATTTCATTGGCTTAAAGAACATTCAGAGAATGCATTACATGGCAGGTGATTAGAATGCACACACTACACACCTTATCATTCACAGTTCAAGAAAATGCAACACTTAGGTTTCACTCCTGGTTGTTCGGTAAGCACCTCGCCCCTTTCGACGCAAATTCCGATATAAGCGCCAGAGATTGGCTTCACTGCCCGGTTGTTCGGTTGTCAGCTGGCATCTTTATGCCTCAGTTCCAGAGAATGGGCCATAATCAGGATTTACTGATGGTCATTCGGTGGTCATGCAGCATCCTTGGCAATTTGGCAATTATGTGACAAACTAGTGAACCCAGACTTGGAATTTGTCCGGGTTAGTTATTGCCAAAGAATATTTTAACACAAACTAGCGCCTTGAAGCAAGGTTTTATTTGACCCCAAATCGAGGATTGCCAAAATTTTACCAAGTCAAAAAAAAAAAATATTTTTTTTCAGGATTACGGTTTGATTAACTTGCCGTCTCTTAAATGTAGTCTGCGTTACAATATGGTCGAAAAAAGCTTTCCGATATTGAAGTAGTTAAGTGACAATTATATCTCCGAAGTAAGATGTTATTCATAACTGGTTTCCCCGCCACGCCCTTGTGCTGCATCTTTCATAATTCTTCTACACAAAAAGCGTTTCGGAAATGTTGACGAATATAATCCCTGACGATAATGACGAATATAATCCACGAGGACAAAAAACAAACATAAACCTCCATGCATGCTGGGTGACTTGTGCATGACCGGGAAAATCCGCCTGTTCCTGGTATCGAACCAGGGACCTCTCCATCTCCAGTGGAGCGCTCTAACAACTGAGCCATCTAGGAGTTAGACGTCAGCAGAGAAAGCGTTTTTTTTTCAGCTGCTACCGTCTAACAGGACTAGGCGGATTTTTCAGGTTACACACCAGTCACCTAGCTGTGTTTGGAGATTTGTGTTTGTCTTTTGCCCTCCCTTGTTCCCCTTCTCCAGGGATTAGTTTCGTCATTCTTGTTTAACTCCCTTGCTCCTTTGCATTATTTCTATTATCATCAAAACTGTTTCTTTCTGTTTCTGTTTTACTTGTCGTTTTTTTTTTTTTTGTTACAATATTGTGGCTGTTAACGGAGAAAGGCAACCAATAGGAAAACAAAACCACGGACTGTCCACAGAGTGTCAGTCTAGGAAAATGGGTAACAATACTCGCGTAATAAAAATTATGTTTGACGTAACTGGTCTATTGGTCTTCGGTGATATTCGATCATGTTTCTTTCAGCTTGATGATTGTAGTTACTAAATAAAATAAAATGGGGCAAGTGACATTAAATATTAGTATTGAAATCTCTGTATCTGACAAGATAAGCCCATTGTTTTTTACTAATGAGGCGGAAATATATCTCCTATCGGATGGGTAATTTTGATAGAAACATTTGAGCCCAGCGTTTTATGAAACACATTGCATATGTAGGTGTACGCTGAAACCTTTCAAATGCTTAGAAAACCGTGCATCATTTTTGTGCAACATCGGAGCTGTTTCGCGCTTCACACAGGAGAGATTCTGCAGCTGGTATCAACGTTAACGCTTAAGTCGCTGTTTTATGTGAGCACTGTTTACCAGAAAAGTAGTTCTGATGGAAGCACTTTACAAAAGGCCACTTTACACCAGAAAGCACTCTACACCAGAAAAATAATTTGATAGGAGGATTCTAAAAAGAAAAAAAAAGAGAAAAAAAGTGACGATCGCTTGTTCGTGCTAACAGGGTCGAAAAGTGTACATTAAATGTTTCCATGCGTGCGCAAGTGTCTGTAGAGGCCTCTGGACGTACAGGCACGGTAACCATTAACAGGCTGCAGGACTTTATCCTGCAGATGAGATGGCGGTATGGCGAGATCAGTGCGTGTTTTGGCACTCTTATCCTGTTTTTCAATAAATAAAACGCGAACAAAAACAGTTCGAGATATGAATTGAACGCGAATGACCGATATCCAGCGCCAAACATTTTTTGGAATGTTTCACGAAAAACATGTTTTATCTGGACCCATAACCGTCGGTTTGTTTTGCCCGTAACATGGGTCTAAAGTATAAAACCGCCGGTATTTTTATGTATGCATGAGACACCGAGCTAGCATGTAGCGCCCTGAATTCGTATGCATGGAGTGCTTTTGGGTCGCTCAAAAGCCACCAACTGACTTCCTCGTAATCTCAATGTGTGTGAACCCACTTCGAGCTTCTAATTCAGATAACGTTATAAATCATAACTCTCGCAATGGATCTTCTCTACCATACATTCAGGCGTCTACCGTACGGTGCCAACGTTTACATTATACGCTTTTTCTAGATCTAAAAAGCAACGTATATACGTGTAAGAGTACACGCAAAAAATGATCTTACTGTTAGTTACATAAACAATGAATTTATAGTACCTGACTGATTTAATTTATACGATTTTGCATTCTTATTTTCTCACCACTAATTTAATTTAAAATACCCATAAGCCAGGTGGGCTTTTAGGAATTGCTTCGCAACCATTTTTTTGCTATATAAAATTTTTATTTGAGGTCATTCTAAGCTCACATAGCTTACACCAAAACTACTTAAATTAAAAAGATATTAAAACCAAAATTCCCCAATATCTTTCGCAACAAAAAATATTACAGGAGGACTCTTAGGACTGCCTACATGTACGAAAAAGACAGCATTCGTACATTCCGCGCATTCCTACAAGCAGCGCGCGCCGCTGTCATCTGCTCGGGCCGGCCGCGTGTGGCGCGACATGGCTGAAAACAGAGCGTAGAACAAGTAATACAGTGGCGCGCATGAAGAGGGATCGCACAGGAAGAAAACCGAGGTGCGCAACTTCGCCATCTGATACGGACTGCTAGCGCTACATTTGGACGATAATTGCTGGCGATGTGTAGCTTAATTTTTCAGAGAAGAGAATACTGTAAATTTTATTCGCGGACACCCTACACTTTTGAATCTTGAATCGCCTGCTTGCGAACCGTAAGCGGAGCGCACTCACATTGCACGAGGAGATCCACGGTGCGCTCGAGCGGCCTCAGGCCCGCGCTCTGGAGCACGGGGTTGCTGCCCTTGCAGGTGAAACTGCCCTCGTGGTCGTGGCGCGTGAGCACCACTTCCAGCGTGCTGATGGTGCGGAACGTGCCGTCACCCAGGGACTCCACGTGCGGCTGCGGCTGGTGCTTCATGCGCTCCGTGCCGTTGAACCACGTGGCCTCGGCGGCCGGACGGGCGCCGGAAATGACGCACTTGACCTGGAGCGCCGTACCGGCCTTCGTTGGCATGCTGGGGCTGTCCATCTCCAGCTCCAGGGGCTTCACTGCAGCGGGAGAAGGACGCGATTCCGGAACGTGAACATTACTGGCTTCCTAAACCGGTCCTGAAGACACGCATCGCGGGAAACAGGGCTCTAGCCATGATTTTGCTACGTCACATAAAAGAGGCCAGTGCTGGGCAGAGATTAGAGAGGATTTGTTTATCAGCACCTGGTTGGGACTTCTGAACGATCATAAAGGCTACGAATTTCAGCCCATCGCTGACGCCATAGTCGTGTCCAACATGGGCACCATGATGGCCTTCGGTAGATGACGTAGAATTTTCAGCCCTAAGGCCGTGTTAGATAGAGTCACGGACAGGCGTATTCACCAGTCGATATTAGCTAGCGTTGTTTTAAAGTTATTAAGGCGCGTAATGGCGGTTTCATACACGCACTTTTAACCGCAGGAACTCACCTTTAAGTGCTGTAACGTGTCGTCACAGTTACCATACTATACTTTCGGATAACTATTTCGCAAGTAGTGAAGAGTGAGCGTGCAATACTTTGATGGTTGCTCATGATGCTTAAGCGCACGTGCGTCCATAGCTTTGACTGCATTGCCACAAAATGTTGTCCGGAAATATTGTAAGCTAACTGTGGCTTAGCGTAATTTCAGTTAAGAGTGCCCGTGTAACAAGCTTATAAGTAGTGAGGAATTAAGGGGAAAAATCAAAGATTAAAAAGAGAGCAGTCCCGCAGTATGAACGAGTGCGAAGCTAGCAAGTGACTATTTAGACAGGAGTAACAAGCTGAAATGACATAGAAATATAAGTCACGCTACCGCGTACTTAAACTCCACTGTGTAAATGGGAAATTTATTGTATAAAAACGAATACTTAGGCTTTAATTAGCAATCATACAATGCTATAATGAGACTCTAAATGTCCGGAACAAAGTTGTATGAAGAAAGTAATAAAAAAAAACTCAAGGGATAAAACACGAAAGCCACGTGCCAGCAACAAACGCGAATATCGAAGCGGCCGTCAATCTCGGCTCTATCGTCGTCCGGGGCATTTCTGAGATTCCTTTAGAGTTTTACTGAGCTATTGCCCCAAATATTCGCTGCTCCGATTCTTTCTGGATGTGTCCCTCAGAATTCCAAGACAGTAAGTGCTTCATTACCGTTTTCGGCCAGTGGTGATAGGAGTCGGCCACAGCGCCGAGCTGGCTAAACTAGCGGTATACTCCCCGTCTAAGATTTTTCGCTCGCCTTCTAATTCAGTCGGGGCGGCAAAGCCCGAATTATGATCGGTGAATACCAACTGCTTACTTAGCTGTGATTACCACCTACCACATGGTCATTTTGATCGATGCCTGAGTTAGGCAGCGGTTAAACACGTGCTAGTCACGCCTGGCGAATGCTGTTGAGAGTGTTCAGAACGTTTTGAAGTGGCGGTTCAAAGGGGAGAAACGGACGGCTGAAAGCAAGGCCGCGAATGTATGCTCCGTTTCACTTAAAGTTAAACCCCAGCCCATGCTAGAAACCTGGTGCATCAAATCGAACTGAGTTAAAACTGCATCGTCATGGCCCTCGTCGTCTTTGTTTGTCTGCTATTGCCGGCCAAACCAGTCACACGCAGCAAAAAGTTCAGGATCACAGCAGGCACCTTCAGCGTGATTTATTTGTTTGGTGGTGAGAGTAAACCTTTAAAAGAAATGAGATTCTCGCCGATGAACTGTCTGGGCTGCTCGATTTCATCCACCGGATTGAAGTATCCGCTGTGATCGGACTTCAGTGAAACGGAGTAAAGAAGCTGGAGGACTATGGCTGTTATAGTAGGTTATACAATATAGGAATTTAACAGCGCACGGTTGACGCGAAAGTAAGTTTGCAAACAATTATCTTCGAAAACCTCGCTTCCTTTTTTTTTTTTAATGTTGACATTTGTCAAGACTGAAGGAGCTGAAAATTTCGTCTTAGGAACCACTGAACGCACGGTTCATATTCGGAAGAAATTATTTCTGAAAACTGCGATAGAAAAACTTAGCTCTGGGTTCTCTTTATTTTCTGATCAACCTGATTACCTTCCAATTTGTGCGCAGTCGAACTCATTACGAAGAGTTTGACAGAGCAGTAGGCACCAGTTCTCTGTTCTGTTTGGCCTGGACATCCCGTTTATTTGAAAAAGTGTTGGCTTCAAAACATTCAATTAATCACTACGTTATTTTCGTTAAACTTAGTGCACTAAATTGTTTATCTTATAGCGTGAACGCAAGTACGGGAGTTTGCTGGTTAAAAACGAAGTAAACAGAACGGCCCAAGAGCGTGGAAAGGGCAGCAAAAACATAAATACCAAGGTTTGAACCCAAACAAATGCTTGTCTTACATACCGCATTCTTCAACTGTCCCCTAAACCACGTTAATACACTTACTAAATGTTAAATACATATCGCAATATACAAATTAAACATTTTTGAGGTTGCGTCACATAGGCATCCTAAATTCCGGCAGTGTGTCTTTCACCGCGGAGCTATTTAAAGCTATGGTTTAGAGTAATAAAATGCAGCTACTTTAAGAACTCTGTGAGTGTGCTCAGCTGTCCCTGCCACTTTCCAGAGTTACAGTGTAAATTCATTCTACTTTGTGGTACTGTAAACTGACCTTTTTAAATAAAACGTTACACTCGCAAGCAGAACGCTATAAACTATCCTACCTAGAATACTGCTTCAATCACAGGCCAGGAAATGTAGATAGAAATTTACAGGGTATCCTCACAGCAGACATCTCTTGTTGTAAACGGCAAAACCGGACTCACTTTTCTGTGACTAGGCGAGCAAAACAAATTATTATTATTTTTTTTTTCGCAGTTGACAGCACACATTAGGTAGAAGTGCGTTTAGTGAAGACAGTGCTATGATTGCTGTCGAGTGCTGGGGTGAAGTTTGGTCGCTAACTAACCATTTATTACCAAGGGGTCCTTTCAGCGGTTTTCTTTCAAAACTTCGTGACCTTTTCCCGAATAAATATTTAATGAATAAACAACCTGTTGGAAAAGCAAGAACATTTTGACTTGACTGCATTTTGTTCGGGGTTGTGAGGACATGATTTTAATAAAAACTTTTATCGTGCACAGCCGCCCTTCGGAATCTGTTCTTAGTATAGTAAAAACAAATATGTTCGATATTTGCAATCACCACTCACTAATCAGCAGAAGTGATGGTTCTGTGTTACAAGAAAAAGTAGATTAAGTTAACCTAGCTAGATGGCTTGCGTTTGCTCCACGTTATTAGTTATCTGCCACAGCGTTCCGATGGCTGTGTGTCTTTTTATTAAAGAACCGGATAAATGGGTATTCTAACAAATCAGGATATGGTTTGGCACAAAGTCGTATTTACATGGTGACTTATCAGTAAAAGTGTGGATGGACAAGGTTGGTTGAGCAAAAACACCTCAAAATAACAATTAACAAAATCTTGTCCAGCCTGCGTGAGATTATGAAATGACATGGTGGGACACAATGAGGTGTATTTAACCCATTTTTATGTTGAACTAAACACCAGCTTGACCCAAGAAGATAGGTAATAATTTCGCCAAAACTTTTCCAGCTCGATTTTCGTCCATTCAGAAATTTAACGTTTTTTTTTTGTTTTTATTCGTGAGGTGTTATCCTGCTATTGATTCAATAAAAAAAGTGACCACTTACGAACACATTTATACAAAAACCAAGCGAAATAGGAAATTAAATCGATAGTTTTGTCTATTCGAAATGCCTTCCCTCCACCGGTATCGCGGTGTACGCTAATCCTTGACAAGATGTCCTTCAGCCCGAATTAGATGATGGATACGTCCTTTTGCAGAAAAGGTCGACAGTCCACCAAAGATGCAGGAAGCACTAATACACCGATTATTGAACACTTCAAAACCTGGCTAAGGTGACAGCTCTGGGGAAGCTCTCTGATAGTTAATGGTGCAGGAATGTTTGAAAATGTAATAATTGAACTTATTTTCTTACGGTGGTTTGCGGGGGGAGGGGGAGAGGGGGTGAAGGACAAGGAGATTTTAGCAGCAACTTAAACATTTTGAACTAACAGAGAAGTTTTGAATGCCTCTGAAGCTTTAGGAGGTACTTTCCCGCACAAAAGTTCAAACTTTCACTGCACCAGCTTTTGTCTAATCGTAGCGCGGTTAAGTAGCACCTTTAAAGTTCGACACGACGGAGTATCTTGTACTTCATTTTACGACGCTCGGATACCCTAATATGATCCGAAGTATAGGGGAACGTGGGAATATATATGAATAGCTGTCGAGATGACGGCAGGGTCGCAGGCAATATAAACTTGGTGCAAGAGCAAAGCTTGCTGGAAAAAAAATAGAATGTAGACGCCCCTGTCGACGCTAATTCACTTAGTGAGCCAGGTTTCTGCGAGAGCTGATACCAGCTGACATCCTTTCATCGAAATCAAATTACGGGCGCAGATTGAAAAGTTACGTTACGCCATGTTATTGGAGTCTATCTTGTAAGACAACTTGTACCCGGTGCAAATTACAACCGAGATAACGCCGCACTCTCTTCCCTTTGTAACCGAGTTACGCTGAACCCGCCGGAGCGAGACTTGGAGGTTCAATGGCACAAACAAAGAAGAAAAGAGAACCTCAGGGAACACTTCCCGTGCACCCCATGGTATTTTTTGTTTGTATTATGACAAAAAATGTTGCTTTTGGTTTTAATCATGGTCAGTCAAGCATAATGCCTCGCTTATCTCCATCCTTATCTCGTTCGTCCACAGGCTACACCTAAAGCATGCCTGACAGGACCGGAGACTTGAATGAAACGTGTCAGCTATATAAGAAAGACGTGGCATGTAAGACGGCACCGAAGAATTATCGCCAATGCGAATTCCCTCCACTTACCATAAACAAGGTGCGTGAACGTGTGCCAAACAATCTAGTACTTGAGTCGTAAAAATCATAAAAAGAAGAAAAAGAAGTTTCTTTGAATTTTTACTATTATATGTGTTCGTATTAGGAGGACGATGCCCTCTCAGTTAGAGCTGTCGAAGTCGCGAAACTCTGAAACAAATGAAACAAATCTAATCAGGACTGTTTTACTCAAGATACAAACATTTATCTGCTTAGTGCTTAAAGGCTGTGTCTCAATTACTCAAAATATGTTTTGATATTGCAGCATGTTTAAAATGCTTACCAAACAATCACGAATAAAATCAGCCTTAGAGACGAATTATATAAATGACGAGGGCAGGAAGACACAACTCTCTCCTCGTCATCAATATAGTTTTCCTGTAACGCCGTGACATTACGAGCACGCTCCATTTCCACGAGAATAAAATCATTTAAATATTTTCTTGATCCGGGTCTTAGTTCGTGGAAACGTCTAAGTTTCTGCTATTCTATAACAACTGAAAGAATGTTGAAAAGGATACGTCGCTTCAATCATATGTCGCACGATGCAGAAATTGGAAGAAAAGTGCTCGAATAACATTTGCGTTACCATATGAACGCTCAAACTTTCCCTGGCTGTCTACTGGGCCAAGTTAGAGATTCCCATGTGAGTGGAGTCTAGAAATCTATGAAGCAGACAGTTTAGAAAAAAATCAAGTAGACCGTTAATTCATTTATATTCGTATTTTATTTTACTGGTGATTCGGTAATTTTTCGTTAGATTTCGCTAGAGACGGACGTAGTTTTGTCGCTTTTGAAGGTTGTTTTAATTACTAATTCGAGCAGAAAATGGCAAACGAAACAACACAATTACCAACAAGTGTTTGTGGTTTATTTTGTTCTAAAATATTGTAAAAAAGCTACAGTTCTTTTTTTTTCTCACGCCACGCACGAAACAATTTTGATGAAGACAGCGCAATTCAGACAGATTTTCTCATCCTACAGCGGTCGACGACCGAAAAATGGAAGTAATAGCCTAAAGACTCAATCACAGACTTACGTTTGAGTACAACATTAACTACCTGCGCATACAACGCGAATGTAGTATCGATCGTTACTGCAAACGACGAGGAGCCGTGACGGGGCAATACCCCCTGGAACACAAGAAACAGGGAATGTATTGCGCATTTGTCCTATCCAGGCACCTAAACAAAAAGTATTTCGAGAGTTCAAAGTCCGTTTCAGAGCATTCGCCCAAGTGTGCAGCCGACAAGCTCGGCGTGTCTCACCATGCAGGTCAAGCTCGACCCAGGCCCGGAGGGGCGTCTCGAGGGCCTCGTTGACGGCCGTGCACTCGAACCTGGAGCCGAGGTCCTGGCGGCTCAGTGCCGTAGCGAAGGTGGCTGCCACGTCCCCGGCGCCGCGCTCCCCTTTGGATTCTTGGAGCTGCGCGCTGAGCTGCACGTCGCCCTTGAACCAGGCCACCTTGGGCGGGGGCTTGCCGCCCTGCGTCCGGCACGTCAGGCTCAGCACGTCCCCCTCCTGCAGCGGCCCCACCGTAGCCCCCGGAGACAGCGGGGCGCCTTTCAGCTCCACCGAGGGCAGGCTGGGCTTGGCTGCCGTCGACGGGAACAAGGGCGGGGAGGAGGAGAGAGAGGAGTGAGCAGACAGCTAAGGAGAAACAAGACACTTCCTTTGTTTCGACCTCTACAATACTCAGGCCTAAAAACAAAAGATTATTTAGGGAGAAACTACTTTTATTAACGCCGTGCATAGTTTGCCTTGCACCAGGCACTAAGAATTGTGTAGCACGTACTTTCCCGCAAAGCGGTAAAGACAGAGAATCGCTGTAATCCACCGATGAAGCTCGCCAAAGGGCATTCATCAAACTATATTCGCAACTGAAATATCTGTCCAAGCTGTGACACTAATCCTTACGTCAATACAGCGCCCCAGCGTAGACTATATTTTTGTTGGGGAGGTGTCTATAGATGATTTCAGCATTCTCATTTGCCGAACTAACTTCGCAGATTGCAGCAATAGACGGTATTCGGAATTGCTGTACCATCGGGCAAAACGTTGTGCGCTGCCATCGTTGATCTTTGTTAGCTGGAGCTTGCTAGGCTGTTAGTTTCGTAGCGTTGGCGGCAATAATCGAGGCCTTCTGCTCACCGTCATCGATCTCCACCCACACCTGGGAGCTAAGCGTTAGTATTGTTTTACGCTCTTCCTTACGCGTGTACGTGCTCGTCGTCCCGCCAGTCGCGGGTTTCTCGCTGTAACCAACATGGCGGACGTACACTTCAATTCGAAATTTGGCTTCGAGTGCCGAGGAAAGACATGGTCTCGGGCGCCTGGTTTTTGAAAGCGCGTTTTCTGCGCAAGTGGTTGTGCGAGAGTCTTCAGAACCACGCTTTCGCGCCCTGGCTTTTTACGTGCCGAAGCCAACTCATGACACATGGCATGTTTGGCATGTGTCATGCCAAACATGCCATGCCAAACATGCCATGCCAAACATGCCATATGGTCTATTTGCTCTCCTAGGTGTCCTGAGGGAAAGTAGGCCCTCCAGATTTCATGGAGTGTAGGACCTCCGCAGCCATGAACTAAGGGCTCAAGGCACGCTTTACAGAGCTCCGACGGTCCGCCCTATCAAAGTGCATGCGGGCTCGTACAAGTCTTAGCGATAGGCAAGACCTTAAAACCGAGGTTTTAACAGCAAAGCGCACTTAGTGAAATAGGCACAAAAAATAGGCCTGCCTTCAACCCCCACTGACCAGCTTGAGACCGACACGGTCGAGCTTGCCCTGGCAGTTTACGCGGAAGGTTTCAAGGAAAAATAGGGTGCTGTTTACTGTACTACGTAACATTGTCTACCTCATTTATGAGGAAAGCTAATATAAAGATACAGGACAGGTTTTATATTGTAGACGTATTAACAATTAAGTGGGGATGGAATAAACATCAAAACAGGTATTCCCGACTTCAACTGTCTTCTAATTTTTGTACACACTATTTAATTTAAAATGCCTATATTCATTATTTTACGCGTTTACATGGTAAATACGCGGGGAAACATATCAGAAAAGACACAAAATAAATTGAAATTTATTTTGAAAAAATTGTGCATACATGAGTACACGTTCAGATTTTAGTAATGTTTAAAGTACACACTGACTGATGCAATAGACTTTTTGAGACGTTTATTCGAATGCTTAAAAGAGCCTTAAAACTAGTCGATGTTGATGCCTTTCAATGCTTCTGCCTTTTTATGATTCACGCTTTCTAGATTGGCATACCGTTTCCCTTTGGTAACGTTGGTCATCCGGGGAAACAAAAAAGTTAAACGGGGTGACGCCCGATGAATAAAGAGGGTGCGGAAAGGGGTTGTCAAAACCAATTCAGCAATCAGCGTGGTGTTGACAGGAGCGTAGTCATGGTGGACAAACCAGTCTCCTGTTTGCCTCGACTCGGCACGTTTCTTCCGCAAATCATGATGAAACCTTCTGAAATTTTTCATATATAAACTTTGGTTGACCGCAAGATCCAGAGGATCATATTCTGAGCGCACAATCTCTCCCACGTCAAAGGGACAGACGGTAATTTTCTCTTTCGTGTTGGATCTTACTTCGCGCGCTTTCTTAGGACTTGGTAAAGAGGCAGTCCTCTACTGGGAGGATTGCTGTTTCGTTTCCAAGTCGTAACCATTGCACCGCAAATAATTTTATTTATGATCGTGAAAAAAAAGTTTTATCCTCTAGCTGCTTCATAAAATCACGACACACAACCAAGCAACTGCCTCTTTAATCAGGCGTGTGCAACCGACGCACGAATTTCGCTTCAACTCATTTCATCTGCAAATCCTCACATTCAATTTCTTCACGGCGGCTTACAAAACTATCTACACGAATTCTTGCCGAATTCTCCTTAGTTCCGCTGTTGGAAGGGCACCTAAGGATAGGTTGATTATTAATTGACATATGACCTTGTTTAAAACGGGAAAACCATTTGGAAACATGATGTTGCAAGCTGTGTTTGGAGATTTACGTGTGTCCTTTGTCCCTCTTGTTCCCCTTCTCCAGGGATTATTTTCATCATTCTTGTCCAGTTCGCTTGCACCTTTCCATTTAATTGCATTATAATTACAACCTTAAATCGCAAGCTTCACCCTTTTTGGTGTTAGACTGGTGGCGGCTGATAAAACCCGTTTGCTCTACTGACGTCTAACCCCGGGTTAGCTCAGTTGGTAGAGCGCTCCACCTGTAATGGAGAGGTCCCGGGTTCGATACCCGGACCAGGCGGATTTTTTCGGTCGCTCACAAGTCACCTAGCTGTGTTTGGAGATTTACGTTTGTTCTATGTCCCTCTTGTTCCCCTTCTCCAGGGATTATTTTCATCATTCTTGTCCGGCTCGCTTGCACCTTTGCATTTAATTGCATTATAATTGAAAACATCTGTTTTATTTCAGCTCCCGTGTAAGCCGACTGTCGCACAACAACCGCTTTCGCTTTATTTCTTTTCATTAAATAGTCAGTTCAAAAAAAGACAAGCACCTTCAAAAAGCCTCTGCAAATGTTCCACCGCAACGTAACGCAGAGTCTTATAGGAATACGTACTTCTACCCCAATGCAAGCGGGTACCTAGGAAACACACCTAGCGGGTCAAACTTTTGTTACAGGAGGCCCGCAATCCAGAATATGATTCCGGTTACTATTGGGTCCCCCTCGTATTCTGAAAGATGGCGGAGACACAATATTCTAGAATGTTTTGTTATCGTTTATAAACGGGTCCCCTGTTTTTCGGAACTAGCAGGCCATGAATATGAAATAATATTACGGCAACCACGTACTTCCCGGAGATGGACTTCGGATAGTTTTTTTAACGATAATATTAAGGTCGTTCAAAAAGACCCATATATTACTTGCTTCAACACCCTAACAATCGCTAATGAGGTTAAGATTGAATTCCTCGTTCCTTACATTCGCACGTAGTTCAGATACGTGGTTAGTAAACACTAGCAGGGCTGTAGGGTTCAAAATTAGAATATTTAAAAACATAAAAAAATATATTTTATGCACTTTTCGCACTCTACAAAGCCCCAAAGTGTCAAATCATATTACTTACATGCAAAAACGCCAGAAACGGCTAGTTATGTGTCAAACAATATATTAAACCTCCTCTCCCGCAGTTTTATAAGCAAATAATTAAAATAAATATTTTAAGCATAGCTCTTATCGGGCGCAAATTTATTCATCAAAAAACTGTATGCAAGAAAAAATATTAATTTCTCGTATTCATTAAAAACGTTTTCAATGTGTGTGTAGCTCGTATTCTGTCGCACTCAAAAATGTAGCTCGCATTCTGTCGCACTCAAGTATCTTCCTTTATCACACAAGGTAAGAAATAAGTAAAGCTCCGCGAGGTGCCTCATATGTTTAGGTATGGTTCCTAGGTAAAGAACCAGCATAGAGACAATTTAAATATAAAATCTGCCATACAAATCTTGAGACCGTATGGACTATAACATTAGGACTTCAAGCGCGATTAGTGAAAAGAAGCCCTGGTTTAACGTTTTAGGCATAGTATATATGTTACGGCCAAGAACGTTTAGACAGGGATATCTGGGTATAATAACACGAATCGCTTCTTCGATGACGTCACTCCAATTGGACCCTTAGAAATCACTGCAATAATCTGGAGTTGAGCTGGTAGTGTTCGAATGTCTTTGATTCATATATTTAGATACAACGACACATAGTCTCTAGGGTGGCGGATATTCATAATTTTAAGTCCTTCCCTTAAAGAACGAACAGAAATAAAGTGCCAAATGAAATCTACATTATTCTTTATTGATATTCATTACGAACACGACGATTCTTGCAGCGCTTTAGAGTTGCAGCACTTTCATGGCTATCTTAATCTAAAAATGTCTGGGACTTAAGATGCACAACCTTCAGCTTGTGTTAAATTTGCCGGCAGTAGTATACGATGTTATTGGGCGACAAAGTGACGACTTGGCAAAGAAAAAGCTTCTGCTTTAAAATCCCGTTCGGGTTTATCAATCAGTCACGCGAAGCACACAGAACGTTTCCTGAGAAGACGCCAACGGCAGTCTTTGCCACCACTGCCTTCAACAATGTATCCTTGGATGCCTGATGTTTTGTTTCGGAGTAATTCTGGCTGTCTGTAAAATGTTTACGGGGTTTCATTTAGTTAGACCTCAGATAATCACAATATAAGGTCTCTTTTCTGGCATGTTTTACGTAGTTGTACTTTGTTAATATTGGAGGCCTATCAATAGGTATACGCTTTCACTCTTTGAACATTGAACGTTAGTCTGCATACTTCGTTTCCACATTTAAGACAAAACAAAATAATAAAAATGAACGCAATCTTGGCTTTGAAGCCTTGTGATCTCGATGCAGCAAATTTCTGAAATTGATTCAAGCTGATAATGCTTCTGAAATGCACCAAATTAAAAAGAACTGATCAATATCACACAATATTTTTTATTTGGATTATATTTGATGAAATCTGCATACCTTGGGAATTAACTGGTTAAGAGCTAATTATTCGCTATTTCATATGCAATATAATCATCGCCGAAGTCATCACT